TCATTGATCTTACTACCTGGTAATCATCCAACTGATTTAAAAGAAGCAATCCCAATACATTAAACATACTATTTTAATTTGGGATGTTAGTAACAAAAACAAAAGTTAAATATGCTTAATTAGGTTGATCACTCATTATAGTAAGTTTACTTTCTACGAAACCTTTACTCAAAACTTACCATACATAGAATATTTATTTCTTGGTCTTTGAAGCAAAGCAATAGACCATACTTAATTTACAATCATAGCTAGAGAATCACTGCGAAGTTCTTGCTCTTGATTAGAAAACAGATTATAGATTAATTGCTCTTATAATCAAATTAGAGACTGGCTATGGACAAAAAGGTTTGTGAAAGAAAAACTGAAAAAATGAACAACAGAGATGGTTAAGAGATGTTTTAAGATAGAGATCGGTTGAGCATAGAGACTTGGCCGGAATCCCCATTGAGTAAGAAGACTTCAAGAGGGATGTAAGGAGAAGATGAAGAATTTGATCCAAACCTATACGCAGGCTGCAACAATTTGCTACCTTTCGCACATTGAATCGTTAGAAGTCGTGGCCCGGTTCTCATCTGCCACACCTGGTTTTTCGATTGGGTACACATAATCAGTCTCGCATACTATCAAAACAAAGATACTGTTGTTGAGAGGAGATAATATTGTTACCTCGATGATGCCTTTGCGAGGTGCGTGAATCGCTAAGCATAGACAGTAATCACTTTTAACCGGTTCTGAGTGATATACGGCTTTTCCTTTATCTTTTTTGGCTAACATCTCCATGAACACGCAGCTAGCATCACGATAACCCTAGCAGAGAAAGTTAGGTGGGTTGTTATGGAAAACTGAGAGGAAAATGAAGCAAATAAGTATTAAGGATGTTAAAACAAACCTTCCATAACCGAACAACCACAAGAGCTTGAGTGTCTAGCAGAAGTATTCGACCAAGAGAATCTGTTATCGCAGCTAATGTCCCACTCGGGGATAATGTGAGCTTCTCACCTTTCCTTGGATAGTCTTTTATACATGTCAAAGATGATGCTGCACCAACATTTTGACAAGGTTAAGCCATAGATGAATGAATGCTCAAAAAGTGAAATATTCTTGTCAAGTGATTAGGTTGAAATCTACCTCGAGCGAATGACTGAGTCTTGGCTTCTGGCTTTCGCTTTGGTGATTGATCATTACTTCTCCAGATCAGTTTAGAGAAAGAAGCTATGGTTGAAGCAGCTGCAGGCACAACTTTTGACAGAATCGCTCCAACAATTGATCTACCTCTATCTTCTGAGAGCCTTTTAAAAGAAAGTGATCACAGAAAGTATTCTTTAACGAACTGAAGAAGAACTCCATGAAAGTAACAATGTGAAAAACATTCATTGGAAATTTTACCAACCTGTAAGCTGAGATTACAGCATCCTCTCCGATGGTCACTGCACAATAATAACGTTGACTTGACTGTCAAAGAATAAAATCAGCCAGATTTATAAACCCGAATAACTTCAAAAAAGTCTCGCTATTCGTTTTTCTCAACAGTAGAAACATAACTTAAATCAAGACTCTTATTGCGTTCGGAACGATCAAATAGAGATCACTAGTCACCTGATGTTCCAGTAATGGAGGAGGCATTATGCCAGTGACAGTAGCATCAACGCACACACCATTCTTATTGACATTCCATATCTGATACGGTAGTCGTTGGAACAAACTATCAGTATCTTCTTGATCTCCCTTTCTATTCTTTTGGTCCCAAAAATTAGAATTTTTCTCTTGAAACCATTTCTGAAGCATACTCTACAATTATGAAGACAAAATAAACAAATCTCAGAATTTAAGCAAAAACTTCAAGAGAAAATTGAACACAAAATCTCTCCAAAAATTCTCCTTTTGTCACAAGTTTATCAACACTACCAGAATGTTTGAGCCATCGAAGCGGGCAATAATGCCAGGCAATACAATGCAAATCTCCTCAGAGGATGTCTCTTGCATCAAATCTTTCTTAGTTCCTCGGATTCTTAGTTTCAAGATACGGCTTGGATGTACCATCTGTCAACAAAACACACAAACCAAGTAATTCATTGATTAGATCACTTGAAAGTACCCAACCAAAGAACTGCCACATTGTTCCACGATTCTTTCAGTCAACACAGAGTTCATAAAATCAATGTTTCCACAGTTTAAAGGGACCTATAAAAAAAAAAGAAACTTTACCTGTCTATGAATCAGATCACCGGAAACAGAGTAAACCAAGAGATACCCACATGAAGTCCCGGCAACGACGACTCTGACGTCATCAAACACTAACCATTCGATCGCCGTAATCGACTCGGCCTCAATCGGAGACAGATCGGGTCTGATCTTAACCCGAGGCGCATCAGGATCACCCCAATCCACAATCAGGATGAGAAATCGATTGGCTAGGGCTAAAGAATGGGAATCAAGTGCGCAAAATAGGTTTGGGTTATTCACGAGCCACCCTTCCTTCCCCGCACCAAGCTCGCTAAGTTCCTCACACGCGATGCAGCCTAGTTCCGTCAGGTGGATCCTCTTCGCCATCGCAAAATCCCGGTGAAAAAAAAAAAAAAAGGTCACGATTTTTAATTATGTCGTGTCTCAACGACAAAACGTCGTCGTATGGTTCTGCTTATATTAATCATCTCTTTCGTTGTTTTGGTAGGGAAGAGAGAAATGTTGGGTCAAGATTTATCCTTTTGTAAAACCCTGAACCCTAGCTTCTCCGTTTTCCCTTTCTCATTCCGTAAATCTCCACCTAGCTCCGTCGCACGAAGGACCGTTTCGGTTTTACCGGTCAAAAGCTCCGAGCTTTTGCTCAGAAAAGATGGTGGATTCCGGCGAGATGTGCGGGCTTTGGCGGGGAGGAGCAAGAAGAAGCCTGGAGGTTCTTCAGGTGGGAGGATCGAAGGTGATTCGGATATGAGGAAGCAAGTGAAGAGGAAGGCTCGTGAGAAGTCGAAGAAGCTAGCGGAATCTCTGTTTTACAGATTGTATAATAACCCTGACAAGAGTCGAAGTAGCATTCTAAGTAGCCATCCTGATAAGTTCACGGAAGATGAGCTTGAGATGATAGGGCTTGGTTACGATAGAATGGTTCGGTTTATGGATAAAGACGACCCGAGATTGCGTCATCCTTATGACTGGTTCAAGTACGGTGAGTTTGGACCTTACTCGTGGCGTGGTGTTGTGGTTGGTGATCCGGTTCGTGGTACTATCTCTGATGAGTGTGTTACTATGATTGGTGAAGTGGCGAATCATGAAGAGTTTGAGAAGATTGAGCAGCATGAGATGAATCTAGATTTTCAGAAAAGGGTTAAGGAGTTGGATTCTAATGTTGGTTTGAGGTATTTTTGGGTTTTCGTTAGGCATCCGAAATGGAGACTCGGTGAGTTGCCTTGGGAGCAATGGACGTTGGTAAGCGAAGTAGTTGTGGAGGCAGAGAAGAAGCAGAGGCTGGACAAATGGAATTTGATGGGGAGATTGGGGAAGAAATCTCGGTCTTTGATATGTCAATGCGCGGCTTGGTTTAGACCAGATATTGTGTATGTGAAGAAGCCTGTGTTTCAGTGCAGGTTTGAGCCTCAAGAAGATTTCTTTAACTCGATCATACCTTATCTAAACCCGGTAACGGAATCTGGATACGTGTTTGAAGTGGAGGATGATGAAGGTAGAGTGGAGTTCAGTACTTATTACGGAGGGTTGTGTAAGATGTTGAAGGTGAGGCAGACAGCTTATGTGGATGATGTAGTGAATGCTTATGAGAAGTCGAGTGATGAAAAGAAGTCGAAAGTTTTGAAGTTCTTGCTAGGAAACCACCCGATCGAGCTGTTACATCCGTATACAAGAGAATGGAAAGCAAAACTGGAGGAGATGGAGCTAGGGTGTGATGCTCCAGATGAAGATGAGGATGAGATGAAGAGTAGTGGGAACTCAGAGAAGGCTGAATTCTCTGAATGGGT